GAACCATGCTACTCCCTGTGCCCCTTGGAAGTGCTTGCACCCTCGCATTGTCTTTCAGACACTTTCCTAACTTCTTCCCACTATTGCCTACAGCCAGGGATAAGCATTTAGCTTCAGCAGAAGACAGGCAGCAAAAATCTCTTCAAGTTCAGCAGGCTGTCTACAAAGCTCAAGGACTATTTAGCCAAGGCTAAGGCACTGCAGGCAATCAAATTCAAGTCAGCTGTGAGACACCAGAAACCAGGCTCCCAAGCAAGACCTCAGGGTTGATTCTGAGGTATTTTTAACACTCCCTAGCTCCCAGGCCCAAAACACAGCCCCAATCCAAGGTCTCACCTCCAGGAGTTCTCCTTGGTCCACCTGCTTGCTCAGCAATTTGCTGTAGGCATCGCTGATCTGCGTGACCGGCACAAATCCTGTGAGTCCATTGGGCAAGCTGATGACTAGCTCGTAGTCACTGACCTCTTTTATACAACCAAGGAGCAGCATTCCCTCACAGAGCATCTGGCAAAGCAGGAAGAAGAGCATACAGTGGATATCCTGGCAAGTCAGTGATAACAGGGTGTTAAACACACTTTTGTCCCAAATCACTGATATATTTTACAGGTTTAGTGAGGAAGAACACGCCATTTTTACGTAGCCCAGGAGAGAGATGCACATAAAAATCAAACACGTATCCACAAACCTCAACTGTGAGTGGTTCAATATTCACAACGCTGTTTTTAGCAGCGGCTATTTTGTCTGCCTTGAACCTTTTCTGCTTTCCTTGATCCCTTTGGCTCCTTTTTCTTTTCCGGGATTGTTCTTCATGGTGAACCTAAAGTAAAAGTATAAGCAGTGAGGAAAACAAAAAAAGTGAATAAAGAGAGCAACTTTGCACTGAGTCAGAACTCTGCTGCCAAGAATAAAATTGGAAGTAAATACCAGGATTGGAGACAAAAAAAAATTACATTGGTCACTGCTATATGTCTACTGCAAGTCTTCGAAAGTATTTCCTTTTGGGCTGAGGCTGATAATTTATAAAATTGTGAATCCCGGGAATGCAAAAGAGTAGCAGAAGTGATCGGCACCACCTCTACTAACAGAAAAAGACCAAACTTACTCTATATCTATGACTTATGCTAGCGTCACTATACAAGCACCTCGGAACAAGATGTTTGTGGAAAGTTTAAAAGCTAAAGCCTGATTGATAATTTTGATTGAAGTTTTTCTGTCATCACATTCAACATGTATCAGACATCAGGGACCTTATAAGAGATCAGAAGCAAGGTGGGGGTCAGCAGTTATCTCTTTCTGGAAGTCCCTTCCATAGTTTACTATAGAAATAAGGGATGAGAAGGATTGCAGGTCCTATTCAGACAGTGGAAGAGCTGAGAAGAGTCAATCAAGAACAGGCAAACAACATACATCAAACAAATTGTCCCGCTCTAACTTCAAGTTGGGAGTTTTTCCCTCTGTGGGTTTTTTCTGGATGCCCCCTCGAGGAAAGTTTTCTTCCACGGATGCCATGCTTCCACTTCTACAGAACAAATGACAAAACAGAGATGAAATGTGCGGTTGTTCTGCTTGTTCCTCACAAACACTGAAGAGACGTAAGGTTGAATAGCCCCCAGAGTAAGAAAGAGTTCAGGCAGCTACTTCACAGTGAGTCAGTGACAAAACAGAAACTCACGTCCAACTGTCTTCAACATTTGACTACACTGAAGTGTTGCAATGGTCCATCTAAATATGTACATCCCCAACACTTATTACTATTGCCCAATTCTACTACACTAAAGTATTAATTTTTTCTGGCATTTAGATGCACCGCATAGATACTCATAGAACTGCTTTACCCATTAGCGACCTGCACCCATCTTTGTTATACTCAGCAAGCAAACTCAAATTACCCACTTCAGTCATCAAGGAGAAAGCTGTGAAACACTGAATAAGCTCTGTCTGCATTTTTACTTTTTGCATATCACCCTTAAAGGTGAATATAATTCCATACATCCTTGTGTGAGCTATATGTCTCTATATACATATTTAATAGGTATGTTTAACCTCACTATGTTTCAATCAGTGAACAACACCACTAATAAAGTTGACGATTCACGTGCTATTTATTACCGCAGCCGACAGCACCTCTGCGGAAATCGGCCCTGAAACCCGACGCCG